AGATGGCAAACTGGTGGCGGCAGTAGGTTTCTGGCTTGAGATATGGGTTAGTAATATCTGGGCAAATAAATGAGAGAACTAGGCATTCATAGAAATGAAGGAATGCAAACTGGTGTAATTCAGGCAATGCAAACCGAAGATAAATTCTAATCCATCAAGTAGTATTAACTTTGTCATATAGTGATTCTAACTAGACAGCAGAGATCTGCTTGAGATACATATATAAGAGGCTCTCTGCAGGCACACCAATCTGAAAGGTCTTTAAGACCGATCACCTAAATGAACCAAATTGAAAGTTACTGAGGTTTGATTGTGGGTCAAGAGGGAATATAGTTGTGTAACTAGAATTAGTTAGTTGTGAAGCATAAAAACCAGGTAATATAGAGGTGGATACAGAATACTCTAGTAGGCTTAGGTTATAGATAAAGTAGTCTGAGCCCCGTATTCAAAAATTAGTTCAGTTAGTAAGTGCATAAGTGAGCAACAAGGTTGTATAGTAGTGTACAAACATAAGAATTAATAAAAGATACAAGAGGCATAACCTCACCTTAAAAAAAAAAAAATATATATATATATATATACAACCAGGAGTAAAGATGGCTTCAAAAGTGGTTACTTTTGGTACCTACCAAATTTAAAAGTCTATTGAAAGTACTTTTGAACAGGATCTGGTTTACTGAACTCGAAAGTCCTACCAAAACCCGAAAGTCTTACCAAAACTTGAAAGTTCTACTGAAACTTAAAAGTCTTATCTAAACTCAAAAATCTTATTGAAACTCAAAACTCTTACTGAAACCTTTACTGAAACTTGAAAGTCTTACCAAAACTTAAAACTTTTACCAAAACTCGAAAGTCTTAATGAAACTCGAAAGTTCTACCAAAACTCGAAAGTCTTACTGAAACTCAAAAGTTCTACCAAAACTTGAAAGTCTTACTGAAAGTCAAACCCTATTTTCGCTCAAGTAAAGTCACTTTTCGAACATATCACATCGACAAAGGCTAATCAGATATTGAGATATAACAATTTTAAAAAATCACGTGACCGCTCCACTTGAAATCGACCAATGGGATCGTGAGTAAGAATTTATAGAATTTATTCGCCGATTTTAAGTGGTGCGGTCACGTGATTTTTTTACGATCGTCATATCTAAAAATCTGTATCAAGATCTGATTGGCCTTTGTCGAAGTCTGCGTCACGTGATTTGTCGTAAAATGAGTTTTGAATTTCGACTTTCGGTAAGAGTTTCGAGTTTCCGGTAAGACTTTCGAGTTTCGGCAAGACTTTCGAGTTTCGGTAAAACTTTCGAGTTTCAGTAAGAGTTTCGAGTTTCAGTAGGACTTTCGAGTTTCGGTAAGACTTTCGAGTTTTGTTAGGACTTTCGATATGACTTTAGATTTCGACATGACTTTCGGCATGCCAAAATACTTTCGGAGCCATCCTTAACCGGGCGGGAGGCCGACCACATCTGCATCCTCTAGTTTTTATGATAATCGGTACCATATCGATCAAATATTAACGTATAAAATGTCAAATTATGTTTCTAAAAAATTTTAAAGTGACGTACAACATATATTAGATAGGCACTTCCGACTATACATAAACCGAATTCCAGTTCATAAATGTTTCATTCTTGGTCAGAATTAGGGATGGGAACGGCTACGGCTACAGCCAACAGTGTTTAAAATGCCAGTCTAAAAAATTTCGCAGGCCAATCAAATTTCAAGATCAGGTGTAACGTTGCACGATCAGGAAAATTCAAAACAAACGTTCGTTTTGTCAAAAATCGCTCATAACTCAAAATTTAACCTATGAAACTGCCTTCTGCGCACTAACAAAAAGTTTTCCTTGCAAAATTTTGGTATAACTATAACCCTCTAAACCTAACCTTTTAGTAAGACCCTACCCCTAACCTAACCGCGAAACTTCTTTTCTTAGCGAAAATTTTTTTATTGGTTTCAAATAAGAGCGAAATTTTTTTGCCTGGCATTGCTAGCCCCATAGCCTATTTCTCTAAGAATTTCCATTTTTGGAATGAAAAAGTTAAAAAGTTAATTCCGGCCAAAAATTATGTAAACAATTATGTAATGTGGGCCAAAATTTTGTAGATCACGACCGTTAGCGAGGACCTTCCGTGAAATTTTGGTGCGGCAGCTAGGTTCAATGAATTATTATAGGAGGATCCCCAAATTTCCGGGTCAGATCCATCGGATTTAGGCCGACATTTAGCAATACAAGTCAACCATTTTTGGGCCTAAATTATCAGTTGGGCAGTTTTACTTAATGAATGGGCTATGATTTCATTAATAAAACTTTAAGTGATTTTGTGCAAAATTAGTTAATTCCGGTACTACCGATCATGATTCCGGGGTATTCCAACCCGGAAATTTGGGGACCCCTCGTATGAGTTAGAGGTGCAGGTGTAACTCCATAACTTGTCTTAACTAAAACACGTTCGTGTTCTTCAGAAAGAAGCGGAAAGTCAATGTTGTTTGTTTTAAAGTAAGTGCTTATTTGGTTCGCAGAATTTATAACATAATTTCAAAAAAATAGCAGAATTTAGCAGAATTTACAGCATAAACAGAACGATTATATCGCATAATTTCGCATAAACGGACCAGTGAAACAGTCAACATTTGGGGTCTGTCGCAGCAGAAAATCGGTGGCCCTAGTTCCTGCCCCGTAGCTCACCCACAAAAAATTTTCGGGAACGTGATTTTTAGGTGTAACGTGAAATCACGCTTTTTTTTTCAAAAATCGCTAATAACTAGAAATTTTGTCTATGGAATTGCCTTCTGCGTTCTAATAAAAAAAACTCTTTACGAAATTTTGGTATAAGCTATGCCTTTCTCTTGGCCTTAATCCTAACATTAAAGGCGTGGTTTATTGATTTAAAACTTTCGCGTAATTCGATTGTTTTGATTTTTACGTTACACGATCTAATTGGCTAAAAATCACGTTTCGGAAAAATAGTTTTGTGGGTATAGCTACCAACAATTTTCAACCTTTCAACTAGGTGATGTTCTTGTAGTTTTTTTCTTTTGCTATAACTAGAATATGATTTGATAATATGAAATGTACACGGTTCGGTATAGGGATAGAAAGACCGATCTTTTTAACCGATCTTATGATTATTTTGTCCTCGGTCTTGAGATCAGTCTGGACCGGTCTTCTAATATAGCTAATCAAAATTATTAAAGAGTATGTTACATAATCTTTTATTTTCAATTACCGACTTATATGATTTATATTGGACTGAAAACATTAATGGACCATCTTATTGACCAGGAGAGACTGAACCGGACTGATCCATCCCTAGTTCGGTAGTAGGCTTAAAATACATGAATTGACTCAAAACACAAAAACAAATGAATACTTAATGATATTTCAATGTGTCAACATGGAAGGCTTTATAAGTTTTTAAGAACAAAAGTTCGAGATCTTGCCTGGAAAATTACAGCGCTTTTCAAATTACTGTGACCAACAAATTCCACGTACCACACCGGAAATCAGGAATCTAAAAAAAATGCCAATCTATGATTGGCTAAAAATTATTCTAATAAATTTTTAACCAATCATAAATTGGCGATTCCTGATTTCCGGTGTGATGCGTGGAATTTGCTGGTCACAGTAATAAAAGCGCTGTAAGATATCTCACGGGATTTATGGAGAATTCATGAGGCAGGATATATTCATACTAAAATTTATTGATAATAGTTAAAATAAAAATAAAAAATAAAAAATACTAATATCACCCTAATTCATTCTCCCTTTAGAATATTGATAATTAGATTTAAAATATTGTTTGATATAATCAGTAATTATTTTACATGCCGGATATAAATTCACACTAATATGATCCCCATCCAATTCAATGCAATCCAACTTTCCTCCATTAATTTCTTGTATTTTAATCCAAGATTTTTCTGGAAATTTAAGATCTAAATTTTTTCTTATCTTTGCTTTGAAATATGTAATTGACATCGGTTTTTCGGATCTTGGTAATTGATATGTTTTCATTGCTTTCATATTAAATTTAATCACATCAAAATATTTTTTTAACATTGTTATCGCAACGCCTTCTGGGATAATTACTTGATTTTGTTTCGTATCCAATGTTGATGCCTTTTCGATGGCTATCTGCAATGCTTTCTCATCATCATCCATTCCAATCAATTCATCTAAATTATATGTTTTGGAATAAATATAATGTAAAATTTCTGCTACACTTATCGTTGAATTTGTAATGTCTTGACCAGTTGGTGTATCTACCATGATTAAATTCACGGATTTTCCTTGTTTAACCAATTTGCATCCCATTTCATATGCTACAATTCCACCAAATGAAGACCCAAAAAGATTGTATTTATGACTTTTATTATTTTTTAACAAATCTTTAAGGTAAATTTCAGAAAGATCTTGTATAGAATGATATTCTATTGCCGTTGAATCTTGAAGTCCAGGATATTCAAACCCATAAACTGTTACATTTCCTAATGAACTGACAATATCTTTATAAAATAAACAAGATCCACTTATTGGATGTATCATATAAATCGGCCTAACAGTTTCGCTTCCGTGTTTGAGTTTTGTTATTGATGTTGATCTATTAAAATCACTATTAATTGTAGGCGAAATGTTTGTGCTTAAAATTTCCTTAATATATTTAGCTAAATCAAAGGGTGTTGGAGAGTTGAATAGAACTTTTAGTGATAAAAGACTAATATTAAATTCTTTATTTAATAAACTGATTAGCGATACTGCCACAAGAGAATCACCGCCGCAATTAAAGAAGTTACTATTTATATCGATATTGTTCAGACCAAGAGTTTTCTTAAAACAAAGAATTACTCGGTCTTCAATTGTAGATGGATTGTTATATTTTGCAAATGACTGTTGGTCTATTTCGTTAGACACAAAACTATTAGTATTAGTTTCTACTAATGATTTTTGACGAGATTGTTGGACCCAGTAACTGCAAGTATGATTAAATGAATATCCAGGCAATCGAATAAGTCGAGTTTTTGTCATCAAAGGACAAATGTGTTTATAGAAATTATGCCAATTAATTTCAATTCCATTGCACCAGCAGTTTCCAATTATTTCTTCAAAACTAGTTTTATCCGAATTAAAACTATTTAGGATCGCTATATTATTATTTAATATTCTTTGAACCAATTTACTTGTATCAGTTCCAATTCCGACATTAATATAAATTGGATTTGAAAATGTTGAATTAATAGTTTTTATTCCAGATTCAAATTGGACGGTTTTTCGCATATGTTCTCTCCAAAATTTTGACGTATACACATCTTCAACATTAGTCCATCCTCCAGTGGTATTTGAGATAAAAGGAGTGATCGTAGAAGTGGTTTGTTTGGATGCTTTATTAAGTAATGAAGAAATCTCTATTTCAAATTCATCTAAAATGGAATCTGTTAGATGCGAATGAAATCCATATGACCCGTTGAGAATTCTGACTTTATAATCTTGAGTTTCAAGAATTACTGCCAGTTCCTCAATGTCTTTGGATCTTCCAGAGAATATGCATTGATTTTGTTCATTTATTGCTGCTAAAGATATTTTTCCAACCTTTATAAAAGTGTCCGCATGTTTGCTATCTAAATTAGTAGCTAACATTGAACCCTTTTTCATCTTATGCATAATTTGTGTTCTTTTTAATACAATTCCTAAAGCTATATCGAGTGGAAATACCCCGGCAAGAGTGGCAGCTACGTATTGTCCTAGACTATGCCCAACTATTCCAGAAATTCGTATATTAAAAACCGATCTGAGAATTTCGGCTGATATGTAACTTGACATAAAACTTAACAAAGGATCGTATGTTGTATCATAAATATCTTTTTCCAAATAACTGATAAGATCGGGTACTGTAGAATCATATTTTTGTAATATATTTACACAATCCTTGAATTTTTTTTGGTACAATGTTGACGATTTGTAAATATGTCTATGGATTAAAATAGAATGGCTGCCTTGACCGGGTACTACGAAAATTATATTTTCTTTGGGTGATGTTGTATTTATTGGTGATTTGGTTTGTTCAAGTTGGATCAATGCATCAGAAATTGATGTGGCAATTATCATATTACGGAATTCGTATTGAGCTCTACCTGTTTGAAGAGTTCTTGAAATATTGCATAAATTATACAAATTACGTGTCGTTAAATCATAACCTTCGAAATAATTCTTAAATTCCCTTTTAATATTGTTTAAACTATTAATAGATTTTGCTGAAAAAGGTAGGATAACCCTAATGTTCTCTGCATTCTCAACCGTTTCATTTTCAAAATTTAAATTTTCCTCTTTGTATGATGCTAAAATACAATGCCCATTTGTTCCCCCAATACCAAATGAGCTCACCCCCGCGTACATTGTTCCTGTTTTATGGAAATTTTGTAACTCAGAAGCAATATAAAATGGACTGGACGAAAAGTTTATTAATGGATTAGCTTTTTCGAAATGACCTTTTGCCATGGGAGGTATAACACGATCCTCTAATGCTTTAATGGTCTTTATTAATCCAGAGAAACCAGCTGCAGTATTACAGTGGCCAATATTAGATTTGACAGAAGATATAGCACAATGCTTCTTAGTTGGTGAAAGTTCAGTAAATACTTTTGTGAGAGCCTTAATTTCAACTGGATCACCAAGTTTAGTAGCAGTTCCATGAGCTTCAATAAAATCAATGTCAGCAGGAAGAAGGTTAGCAGATTGAATGGCTTTTTTAATCACTTCATATTGTCCATCTACGCTTGGTGTTGTATAACCAATCTTATTATTTCCGTCATTATTTAGCTCGATTGATTTAATCACAGCAGAAATTGGATTTCGATCAGAAATTGCATCGGATAATCGTTTCAAAACAATGACCGATACAGAATTTCCAATAATAGTTCCATCAGAATTATGATCAAACGGGCGACATATTCCATTGGCTGAAAAAATAAGGCCTGGTTGTGCTATATAACCAGATTGCGGCAATATAATGGAAGCAGCACCAACTATAGCCACGTCGCAATCACCACATTGAATACTATTCCATGCTGTTTTTAATGCTGTTAAAGAACTAGAGCAAGTAGAATTAAGAGCAAATGCCGGTCCTTTAAGATTTAGATGGTATGCGATTCTTGTTGCTGCACTTCCGAACGAGGTGTTCATTTCTTCACTATATTTTTTTGCAGGATCATTTTCATTATTACATGAATAATTTTTGTATGTGCTTTTTTCAATTGCAACAAATACTCCAATTCGTCCTTTTTCATACTGTGGATTGATTCCAGCTTCATCTAAAGCTTGTACACTTTTTTCTAATAACAAACGTTGCTGTGGATCCATTGAAACTGCTTCTTGATGACTAATTTTAAAGAATTCGGCATCAAATTTGTCAATATTTGAGAGCACACCACATTTTGGTACATAATGAGGATCATTACGATTTTTCACACTCATCTCATCAATCTCTTTGTTAGTAAATGTGTGAATCCCATGTTGCCCAGTCTTTATCATCTTCCATAATTCATTAACTGATTCAGCACCAGGGAAACATCCGACCATGCTTATAATTGCTATTTCACTTGCAATTATTGCTTGATCATTATTAGAAGTCTTTATAGAATTATCTAAATCCAAAGATTGATCTGTAGGCATGAGAAAATTTACCAAAGATTCAATGGTAGGATTTTGGAAAAGGTCAACAAGGTCAACCGATGAAATTTGTTGTTGAATTTTCTTTTGTAATTGTAATAATAAAAGAGAATGACCTCCAAGGTCAAAAAAATTAGTGTTAATATCTGGTTTTTCTTTCAAAGCGAGAATATCTTGCCATATGGCTTGTAGATGTAAAACAAGTGAGGCTTTAGAATTTTTATGTTGAGGTCTTGGAACCTCAGATTCAATAGCTTTCTTGAGTAATTCGGGCATAATAATCTTAACCTTAGCGTGATCCGTCTTTCCATTATCTGTACAAGGTAAATTATCAACTGGTATAATATCTGGAATTTGAAATTTTGTCATTGTCTTGTTTAATTTATTTCGAATTACTTTGTGGACCAAATTCTTTGGCATAACAAATGCGACTAATGACTTTTTTTCTTCGTTAACTTGAATTGATACACGATAAATCTCCGGACATTTACCCAAAATTATAGCCTCAACTTCTGAAAGTTCGATCCTGAGCCCACGAAGTTTCACCTGACGATCGAGCCTTCCTAAATATATAACTTTACCATCTTCTAGAATGCATCCTTGATCACCAGTACGATATAAACGTTTTTGTAATTTTGGGTGAAATATAAAGCGTTCTTTAGTGATATCATCCCGTTTCAAATATCCTCGCGCTAATCCAACACCGCCAATCAATATTTCTCCTTTATCACTTACTAATTCTTGCGTTATTGAATCACAAATATATATAGATGTATGATCACGTGGAGTTCCAATTACCGAACCCATTGTGACATGATTTTTTTCAGTTAGGATATCATAATTTGTTGCTAAAACACCTGTTTCAGTAAGGCCATATGAATTGAAAAATTTCTTAAGACGATTCTTCCAGATGTTAACTAAATTATTTGGAAGAACTTCTCCACCAACTTCAAGATATTTTAAAGTTGGGCTACAGTTATCAGGAGATATAGTGGCCAAGATACTTGGTACGACTGACATTGCTTCTATTTCGTTACATTTAATGACATCTAATAAGTAATTTCCAACTAGTAATTTTGGATTTTTAGCAAAACAAATAGTTGAACCATTTGCTATTGCCATAGCCCATCCCATTAATGATGCGTCAAAAGCCATGGACAACACTTGTAACACCCTAATTCCACCATCTTTAGAATCAAAATATTCATATCTGGGGTCCATCAATAAAGTTGTGACATTTTTATGTTCTATCAAAACGCCTTTTGGTTTTCCTGTTCGTGCAACGTTACACCTGATCTTGAAATTTGATTGGCCTGCGAAATTTTTTAGACTGGCATTTTAAACACTGTTGAAATAGGCCCTCACAATGGTAAAATTAGCCCAGGAACATTAGTAAATTTTGAGTAATTTTGGCCTAAATTATTGATCGTCGCTCATAGCCAATCAAAATCGAGGATCTTCCGTGAAATTTTGGTGCGGCAGCTAGATTCAATCAAAAATTCTGCATCTCTAGTTCGCTGATCGTCTGTATCAGAATCTTCCGGGATTACAGAAGATCAGTATGGTACGACTGACTGGGTCAGTATGGTATGGATGTGATTTTACCAAATCGTACCATACTGTTTTGCTTAATTGTCACATCCACTAGAAAACCCGGCCGGCGTTAAACATAATTCCGGGCAGATCTAACCCTAAATTCTAGAGGGTGTGACAATTAAGCAAAACTGTATGGTACGATTTGGTAAAATCACATCCATACCATACTGACCTGGTCAGTCGTACCATACTGATCTTCGTAACCCCCGAATCTTCCGGATTTTCAAATTTTATTGTTCTGCTTTGATGTGTAAAACATGCTATCGCATATGCTATGCGATAAAATCCATATTTATGCGCATATATTATGCAAGTAGCTTAGTGGTGGCGAACAAGAGCGCAATCACGTGATATTTGTCCAATAATATTGTAAGATCAGATGTAACGTAGCTAGGGTAGGTGGCATGGGTGCATGGGCATGCTCATAGGAAGAAATTCATATGATTGGCTAATTTTTATGGATCTACATGTGATCACCCGTGATAATTAACCAATCAAATTACATAATTTAACGATTTGTTCGTTATATGATATACTAAGAAACGAAAAAACTTCACGAAAGAAGCTTATAAATTCATTCATATACCAAAGAATTAATTAATCTCATATACATAAAGAATAGGTAGATACACGTAAAGCAGAGTAAAAGTGGTATTTTTTATTTATAAACCCAAACTTATTAATACAATATATATACAATCTATAAACCAAAACCCATTAACGATGAATAAACCCAAACGTACTGCAAAACAGAACATAGTCAAGTGTTAAACCTGAAACTTCTTCTAATATAAGCTTATTCCTATTAAAACCCAATAGTTAAGAATAAAAGTTTATTCAAATCTAATATAATAAGACAGTTTTGAACAAAATCGCATTCAGTTACCTCAATCTAAGCGTCCTTTGGCATGGTCCAATAAACGACAAGAGTATTTTGTCTTCTAAGTAAAGTTTTCAGTTGGTGGATTATTTTTGGATTATTTTGCATAGTGAATAAAGACGTTCTTCTAGAGCTGTCAATGGTGTTTGCGACGAATTTTTGTTAGTGAAACGTCACGTTCTTAAAAAGTACTTTAAAACATATAAATAAGTTCCTCGGGCATTGATTTACATCAGCCAATCAGACGAACTTCTTCCTATGATCAACTGCGCCCTAAACTCCCAATCCAGATGGCCCGGAAGGGACCAGTGGGCGTCCTCTGGTATTCCGATTAAATCCTTTTTTCTTGTATTACACACGGCTTGGTTAGTATTAGTGTTTGCCAAACACGTGAACTTTGTAAATTGTTTTGCTTTTGAATTATATATAAGTAATATAAAAATAAAAAATTTATAGGCATATTGTGAGTACCGATATGCACTTAAAATAAATCGATAGGTATCCGGTAATTTACTGGCTTGCCTTAAATACAGAACACTTGATACAGCTACCAGTTTTTCTATAAGTATATCGATTTATCTGATATTTAATATAAATTTGCCCTATATAATTCTGATAGATATCCTATACTAGCCAAATCTCTGTTTGAAATCAGAGATATATCAGCCAATTATAGGACAAAAATATCAGTATAATGACAGTGTGCTTTAGGATATATATCAGGTCCTATCGGCATGCCGATATTGCCCTGATATAGCTTAGTTCGATCTGTGTATTCTGCATCAATCGTAAATCTTACTTAATATTATGGTTTTAAAATTTGCTGATGTATTTTATATTTATTTATTTTATTTTTTTAAGCTTATTTTATCTAATTCATATTATTTATATATTCTTTTGTAATATTGTTTAAAAATATTATGAAATATTTCGCAATATTTTATGTTATATTATGTAATAATCTTAAAAAATATTTCGTAATTGTATATTTCACAATATTGTGTAATATTTTGCGTAATATTATGACTATTTTATATAGCATAATTTATTACACAATATTATGCTCTTTTAAATTTGCTGATGTACTATTTTTACCAAATAGTTTAGTTTTATTGACAAACTTTCATTATTTCTAATTTTTAAAAAACACCAAGAATCAAACTCATGAATTCTTTTTTCAAATTTTCATACTAATCTAACACCTACTGCTATTATTATATACTCTTAATATTATTATACTTGTTTTTTTTGCAAAGTTAAAAATATTTTATGTGTTGCTACCAAACAAAGCAATCATGTACCAGATTATACAGTATTTTGTATCTTTAAAAACTTCTTAATACACAGACTATGCTCTTCAAAACTATACAATATTAAGCTTAAACCACTTTCTTCTACTACTCCATTTAATTTTAAATACTAAATTGTTATTAATTTACTTAAAACTTATCTTCATATTACTTTAAACCCTAAACAATTTTTTTATTTTATTTTTTTTTACTTAGGCAAGATCAAACCAGTGACACTATTTATTTAAGTCATCATCTCATAGAAGATACAAAACAATAAAACTTAAGTCTTGATATCTTACAGTTACTTCTTACTTGAGTGCCTATAGACAACCTGTCACACCGGCAAGATATAAAATATACCCTAACCAGAAGGCTCGTCTGACCACTACTTTACAATAGAATATCACCAATCTAATAACATCTTCTTGTAGAGAAATGAAAGAAAAAGAAAAAATTTTTAAAGAAATACTGAGGTATAGAAGAATACATTAAAAAAAAATACAAACAAAAAATGAATGGGGTAAGGAGAAAATAAAAAAAAACTAAACTAAATATAAGATTTTTATCTGCACTGAATGGTCACAATTAATAAGCCTGTGTCAGGCTCTATAAAAATTACATACTACTATTTAAACTAGTCTTTACTTTAATTTATATATATAGTATATCTAAGATAAGAAAAAAATTCTGCAACAAGATAAAAAAATAGCTTCTTTGATGTCAACACTATAGAGAGGTCAGAAAGGTTGAAAATTCACATCAGAGGTCTTGAGTCATTGTTTGTCTGTGTTGCTATATTAGAGATATGTAATCTATATATTCAGTTTTATATATATCTACGTGTTTGTTGTGACAGATAAAAATACAAACAATGCGACCGATTTGGTAAATAAACAATATGTCGATCTTTTAGAAGAAGTAAACTAAATTGCACACTTTTTTACAAAATTTTCCTTCAAAAAAAGTGGGGTTAACAAGAATATGTGAAGTTCTTTTTGTAAGTTTTACAGTTATATAGTCCAGTTTCCTAGTATTTATATAATATTTTTGCCCAAAAACTTTGCTCTACTTGTTTCTAGAATAAACCTTCTAGTTTAGATGCCAAATGTGCTAGGGAGTTCATCAAAGAAAGAAAAACTTGACCTAAGGTACAAACTCATCTAATATTCTTATATGCCTGCTTCTTGGTATTTCATATATTGTAGGCTTCATTGACAACAAGTTTGCTTAGTGCAAAACCAGGAATGGCAGTGATTGTCTATAAAGTATGTGCTGGGGTTTGAGTGAACTCTACAAGGGCAGAAGTAGATAACAGTAGCGGCTTCAGCTCGCAAGTACTTGTTCTCGGACTCGGCATAAGTTACTGAAGTCTAGGTTGGCCGGATTGTGGGTACGGAGGGCTCTAGCAGGTTTACCTCGAGGATAAAGGACCCCTATAGGTGGGTCTGTCTTAAAATCCTAAGTCAGGTATCTGAAAATAAGGGGGCACTAAGTATTCTCGCTCGGTTAGAAGTTAATGTTCATAGGCGCAGAGGGTTTAAATGGGTAACTTGGTAGGATTATAGGTACGACAGCTAGTGTAGGACTTAGTAATAGGGGACTACTTAAATAGGCAACCAAAAGTTGCATATGTGGCTAGTCTATACCCTCCAAATATGTATACGGTATGGTATATACCATACTGTAAAAGTTAATAATAACCGAATAAAAGGAAAGCGACCAAGAGGTCACCTTAACATCGAAAAAAAAAAAAACAATTTACAAAGTTTTTATTACATCAACAAAATATTTTATTATACAATAATATCGAAGTCACAATTAACCACACACAGTAATTGACCCCACAATCTAACTATTAATATTAACTAAACTAGCAAATTGATATTCTAAATAACTAATCCTAAAATAAACCTTCATTAACAGAAGCAAAATACCAATGACGAAGAGAATATATAGGAATGGCTACTTCAACTATAACTACGAAAACGCTGGAATGGTGTAAAAGTTAGGATCACCCTTCCCAAAAAAGTTGCTGCTGCAATAATCAGCAGTACAGATTCCTGGAATTCCTGGAATTTCTAGAATTTGGATAATTCAAAGAACAGTTAGAAAATTAGAATACCGGAAAAATTAAAAAAAGAGTGAAAAATTAGAAAAGCCAGAAAAATTCGAATTCACATTATTCTTGTATAAGTAAAAAAGTTGAGATTTTCTCCATGAAGTTCGAAACCTTCTAAGTTCTTTATGTAGAAGCGTTTGTTCTACTAATTCTCTGATTAATAAAACCTGTATTAACGGAAGGGATAAGTGATCAAATCCTGTAATATCATATTAAGAGACTTGTGACGTAGTCCAGAGCTCTAATTGACTCTAGTTATTCAACCAAGTCTTTCCACGTCTCAAATGTTGCCTTACCATTATTAGGTTCAGTTAGAGTATTTTAGTTGTATTAAAATAACGTCGTAGCATATTTGTGTACTGTATAGAGAATTTTACACTTTTTTAATGGGCGACTCCAACAAAAAAAACATCAAACTGGACGACACCAATGACAAAAAAAAAGTACCAGAATTGATGACTCCAATGACAGGATCACACGAAGAAAAAGCATCTAAAAAACTGAAAGCATTAATATTAAGTAACAAAAAAAAAAGCTCAAAAAATAAAAGAATCTATATATTTCCCTGAAATGTGATGGCAATTAAAAAACACCGAATTGAACGACACTATCGACGAAGAAAAAGTACTGTAATGAATGACTCCAATAACGAAACCCCACACAGAAAAAGCACCTAACAAACTAAAATCCGAAATCATTAATATCAACAAAAAAAAAAAAAACCTATATACTTCCCTGAAATGTGATAGCAATAAAGAAACACCGAATTAGACAACTCTAATAACGAAGAAAGAATATAGGAATGGACGACTCCAACGAGATTCCATGAAGAAAAAGCATCTAAAAAACTAAAAGCATTAGTTTCAAGTAATAAAAAAAGTTCAAAAAAAAACCATATACTTTCCTGAAACGTAACGGCAATTAAGAAGCACCAAATTAGACGACACCATCAATGAAGAAAAAGACCAGAATGGACGACTCAAACAACGAAATTCTACAAAAAATTACCTAAAAAATTGAAATCATTTAATATCAAGTAAAAAAAAAAAGCTCAAAAAAAAAGAACCTATATACTTCTCTGAAATGTGACAGCAATAAAGAAACACCGAATTGAATGACACCATCGATAAAGAAAAAGTACCAGAATGAATGACTCTAACAACGAAATTTTACCAAGAAAAAGCACTCAAAAAAATGATTAAGTAACAAACAAAAAGCTCAAAAAAAAAAAGAACCTATACTTCTCTGAAATGTGATGGCAATAAGGAAAAACCAAATTGGACAACACCATCAGTGAAGAAAAAGTATCAGAATAGATGACTCCAACGACAAGACTCCATGAAGAAAAAGCACCTAAAAAATTGAAATCATTAATATCAAGTAACAAAAAAAAGCTCAAAAAAAAAGAACCTATGTACTTCTCTGAAACGTGATGGCAATAAAGAAACACTGAATTGAATGACACCATCAACAAAGAAAAAGTACCAGAATAGACGACTCCAACGACGAAATTCCACCAAGAAAAAGCACACCAAAAAATGATTAAGTAACAAACAAAAAGCTCAAAAAAAAAAAGAACCTATATTTCTCTAAAACGTGATGGCAATAAGAAAAAACCAAATTGGACAACACCATCGGCGAAGAAAAAGTACCGGAATGGATGACTCTAACGATAGAACCTCACGAAGAAAAAGCACCTAAAAAATTGAAATCATTAATATCGAGTAACAAAAAAAAAGTTCAAAAAAAAAAGAACCTTTGTACTTCCCTGAAATGTGACGGCAATAAAGAAACACTGAATTGAATGACACCATCAATGAAGAAAAAGTACCGGAATGGACGACTCCAATGATGAAATTCCACCAAAAAAAAGCATCCAAAAAACCGATCAAATAACAAACAAAAAGCTCAAAAAAAAAAGAACCTATACTTCTCTGAAACATGACGGTAATAAGGAAAACCCAAATTGGATGACACCATTGGCGAAAAAAAAGTACCAGAATAGACAACTCCAACAAGATGGGATCTCACAAAGAAAAGCATCTAAAAAACTGAATCATTAATATTGAGTAACAAAAAAAAGCTCAAAAAAAAAAAAACCTATATACTTCTCTAAAATGTGATGATAATAAGGAAAAAACCAAATTGGACGACACTATCGGCAAAGAAAAAGTACCAGAATGGACAACTCCAATAACAAAATTCCACCAAGAAAAAGCACCTAAAAAACCGATCAAGTAACAAACAAAAAGCTTAAAAAAAAACAAAACCTATATACTTCCCTGAAACATAACAGCATTAAGGAAACACCAAATTGGCAATGAAGAAAGAATACTGGAATGGATGACTCCAATGACAAGATCCTACGAAGAAAAGTATCTAAAAAACTAAAAGCATTAGTCTCAAGTAAAAAAAAAAAAAAAAAAGAACTTATATACTTTCCTAAAATGTGATAGCAATTAAGAAATATCAAACTGGACGAAAAAAAAGTACCAGAATAGACGACTCCAAGATCGAAAACACCAAATGGACGACTCCAATGATGAAATTTCAGAAAAAGCTGGAAAAAAAATAATGTACTTCAGAAGGTAAAAAATAGTAATATTTATACTAATCTCGTATAACCAATGATTAGATCTCGATTTCATATAATTAAAAAGAGTGATTTTATAAAATACCAATATAAAGTTGATAACCTTATATACGAATGTCTATGTAGCTATTTTCTAGTCTATTATCAGTTTTTTTATAATGAAGAGCTTGTTAAAAAAGTTATAAAGAAACTGGTTTCAATAATCAGTATGTTTAAAAGTTGTTCGGTGCAAGAGCCTCATTTGGTGGTAATTAGTCTCAGCAGGTATATGCAACAATATAAAGACCTCGTAAGATAAGTTTTGAGTTTCGCAGCTGCAACAGTTCTTTGTTGAACCTTCGCCATCTTTATGACTTTATAAATGACTACATAATCAATTCTTTTTGAAGCTAAATGGAGCTCTTCTTGATAACCTGTTCCCATATGCTTAGACATTAGAGATTATAAGTTTTTTGTAAGAATGGGTTTTATAGCCGGGTAGTTCAAATACATTGTTTTCTTTGGAGATATAATATTTTAGTTATAGGGGGTAGAGCCTGTAACGATAGTGAACGGATTCCTTTGTGTTTTGATAAAACCATTTTTTATAAGATTATATCAAGTCGAAATGATTAATTAATTATTATTTTGGAAATGTGGTTAAAATGAATACAGTAAGTATAAAAATATTTATATTTATATACAATTTAAATTTTAAAAAAAAAATTATTTTTCTTGTATTTCGGCCAATATTAAGTAGCTAATTTAATACAAGTAGATGTATTTAATATCAGAAAGGCTTAAGATTTTTTTTTAAAATAAAAATAAGATAAACAAATCTATTATTTTTAACATATTTATTATGGCAGTGAAGCCATCTAATTCGACCTGTGTAAAATAATACAGTAATAATGTTGTTTATTGATATTTCATTCTAAAATCGGTTTCATATCATATTTTGATATGTCTCTGATATTAATATTTATAAGATTAATATCAGAAAAATATCGATAAATCAATAATACTATCAGTTTTACTGATACTTTTCTGATAAATTACTATTTTATAATTTTTTTTTTATTTCCGTCTCTGGTATAACTAATAAAATATCGGTATCATATCGATTTCTGATATGCCACTGATATTTTACTGGCTGTATATATCCTGATATATCTTCATTCAACCTGTAATACTGTGCATGATTTTAAAAAAAAGCAAATTAGCGCAATTTTATTAGTAAATTTGCAAACTTTAAATATGTAGCCTTGTTTATCAAATTATTCTGGTTATAATGGTAGTTAAATCATCAAAATCGGCCCAATATTCACTAAGATAGCTTAATCGTAATAAGTAAGATTTATGCTAGATGTGATTACTGCCATGATTTTAAAAAAGAGTAAATTAGTGTGTTTTTATTAGTAAATTTGCAAACTTTAAATATATAGCTTTGTTCATCACCTTATTCTAGTCATAATGATAGTTAAATCATTAAAATTAGCCCAATATTCACTAATGTAGCTTAATTGTATCATTCTAAAAGTCAAATTATTGTGAACAGAATAAGGTAATGAACAAGGTTACATATTGAAATTTTGTAATTTTACTAATAAAATCGCACTAAGTCACTCTTTTTTAAAATCATATGCAGTAATTACGTTTAGCATAAATCTTACTTATTACGATTAAGCTATCTTAGCGAATATTGAGCCGATTTTGATGATTTAACTATCATTATGACCAGAATAATTTGATAAACAAGGCTATATATTTAAAGTTTGCAAATTTACTAATAAAATTGTACTAATTTGCTCTTTTTTAAAATCATGTACAGTATTCTGCGTCAATTATAAATCTTACTTAATATTATAGTTTTAAAATTTGCTGATATATTTTATATTTATTTATTTTATTTTTTTAAGCTTATTTTATCTAATTCATATTATTTAAATATAATAAATAAATTATCAAAATTGGCCTAATATTCACTATATAGCTTAATTGTAATATTGAAAATAGTCAAACTAATGTGAACTAATTTGAAATATTCTAACTTTATTTAAATATTATAATTAAGCTATCTCAGTGAATATTAGGCTGATTTTGATGATTTAACTACATAATGATTAGAATAATATAATGAACATGGCTACAGATCAAAATTTTGCAATTTTCTAAATAAAGTCATACTAAATCGCTCTTTTTTAGAATCATATGAATTATTCTGCGTTAAATATAAATCTTACTGAATATTATAGTTTTAAAATTTGCTAGTATATAATAATGAAAAATCTTAGCTGCTAAGGCTTTATATTAATGATTTAATCTATTTCAAATTTACTTTGTTATTTCATATAATGCAACTTTTATATTTTTAATTTTTTTTTCGAAATATTCAATAATCATTAAAATGTTTTAAAGACATTCAAAACATTTTAAAATTGCAGTAAATATTTATATTTTCAATGTACATTCAACTCTTCACTTATTTTTATTTAAATAAATTTAATTCGTATATGTTCGATTATTTTAAAGTGTGAGCTTTTAGATCATTGATTTTTTTATTAAAATAGTAAAAATTTACTTTTTTAAAATCTTTTAATCCAAATTTATACAAATTACATTAGCTCACAAAAAATAATATATATTTAAAACCTGATTACATTAATTCTAGAATGCTTCTATATAACAATAGAATAATGTACAATATGTATAATTCGTTTAAAATTAATTAATTAATTCAGATTAATTTAAAATTATTTATATATTTTAAATATAGTAATTAAAAATAGAAAATTTCTAAACCTACACATGTGTTTGTACACGTGTAATAAAATAAACAAATAAATTTTTATTAAAAAAATTTAAATTTCTTTAATTTTAGGGTTAGGGCAAGACTTGGAATTTTAGCAAAAATATAGTTATATGCAAAATTTAGCAAGAAATTTTTTTAATTAGAACACCAAAGGTGGTTTCATATATGAAATTTTGAGATATTTGGATTTTTTGATTTTTTCACTAAAAAAGTTTGTTTTTGTTACATGAAAAAATAATCTACATATTACACCTGATCTTAAATTTTAATTGGCTTTTCTAATAATTTGGTGTAATAATGTGTGTACACACTAGTGTACAAATAGAAATACTCTTAAAAATAATTGTTTAATTGTGTCTAATACAATTAAAGAAATTATATTGTTTTCTAATCCAAATTTATTTTAAAATGATCTGAATTTATTCTATATATATCAGATTAATTCAAACTGTTTTTAAAAAATCTGAATTTAATGCAATTGATCAGGAGTTATTAAAGTGCACAATATCATTTAAAATTCAATAAATTAATATATGCCAAATATATTTAATATAATAAATTTGATAAAATAATTAAAGAAAAATACTTCATTTATATTACAATAAATCTAAAAAATTCGAATTAAATATAATAAAAGCAATGATTATTAAACTGATTACTTTAGTAAAATTGAATATATTTAAATTTAATAAATTTAAGTAAACCTCATTGCAAATACAAAATATTTCATTTAAATTTGAATTGTTTCAAATTTATTTAAATAAACTTACTTTAGCTATCTTCTTTTTCATAATTTTCTATTTTTTCATTTCTACTAACTCACTCAAACTTCTTATGTTATTTCAAATTATATATTTGTATTTTTTCTTGTTTACTCTTTATTGTCCTTATATTGATATTCATATTCTTATAATCATTTTTATTTTAATTTTGCTCAAATTATCTTAAATTAATTCAGTTTATTTCGATTTTTCCTTTAATCAATTTTATTTTTTTTCTTTTATTCTTTTTTTTTTTATTTTTTATTTTTTTTTATTTTTTTTAAACCTTCGCAATGTCGCGAATCAGTGAATTTTTATTAGGTATTTTAGTATTACAATCTTGGTTACCCTATCCTGTAACACTACCCCAATCACACTAGCTCATAACCTCGTGCTGCAGCAGTGAGACCACCCAGATCGATATCTGCTTACTACTTGTGCCCTAATTCTATAGATAACCCAGTAGGGTTCTCATACTTACC